ACGACTCGACGCGCGTCACGTCATACACGACAACCACTCCGTGAGCGCCCCTATAGTACGACGACGTGATGGCGCGGAACAGCTCGTGACCCGCGGTGTCCCACATCTGCAGTTTGATTGTCTCGCCATTGAGTTCAATGGTGCGGATCTTCAGGTCGACGCCAATCGTGTTGATGCACTCGTCGTACGTGTCGTCCGCGAAGCGCCGCAATAGACACGACTTTCCCACTCCGGAGTCGCCGACGACCACCACTTTGAAGAGATAGTCGTATTCGGGCCAGGGTTACTTATGCCCGACAGAGCAATTTGTGAAAATTATCTTATGTCATATTTCATGCTAAATATGTTACCTAACCTAACCTAACCTAACTTAACCTAAACATAACCAAACCAAATATAACATAATATAAGTTAGGTTAGATTATGTTTAGTTAGGTTAGGTTTGGAATTTTTGGATTTAATTCTAAAGTCGAATATTTCGAAAACTATTCAACCAAAATTGATTTGGATTTTACATTCGTATTCAGCGTTAAATTCTGCATTGAAATCATATAAAAATTTTGTAAAAATTAGTAAAACATATTTTTCGAACAAAAGTTCTAAGTCGAATTACTCGAAAAATATTCGAGATAAAAATATTTTGATTTCAAATTCGTTTTTAGCGTGAAATTTGACATAACAAATTTTCACAAATTGCTCTGTCGGGCATAAGTAACCCTGGCCCGTATTCGGCACTCATTTCGGCCAATCTATCGTCAAATGGACGACAAAAATGACAACAAAAACTAATAAATAAAAGGAGTAAAACCAAAATGACGTGTAATTGTCGTGACGACTATATCTCTTGTGAATACTCAGATAATAAGCATATAATTAACGCCAACGATAGTTGAAATACATGTAATATGATTTGTTTGTATAATGAAATTAGTTTGAAATATAATATATACAGTATGTAATCATATAAAGACATTAAAAATGTTGTATACACTTCATGTGTAATACTATCAGTCACTAGCAGTTGACTGCAATTGTAATTCCAGTCACCACGTGTTCAATGATGAGTCAAATTAAGGATATTATAATAATAATAATAATAATATACAAACGTATTGATAAAACAGGTAATTATTCATTGCAAACAAATTATAGCAATAGAAACCAATGGCGGGTCCGCACAAGCGATCAATCAATACAAGTGTCTTAAGACTTAAACGGATCGGTATTTTGGGATTTCGGGCCAAATATGAGTACAGGAGTGGACACGGCTTATGGGCTGCCTTTGAGATCCATGTGCTCAGTATATTATAGCCAAATACAGCTAAAATAATTAAACCAATTATTATTGAATACGACCATCGAAAGGCCATGGTCAGTTTTGGGTTATGCAACACAAAGTTACCGATTTGAACGCCAGGCGTAACGATATAGTAAATTATAAATGTAATTAAATGGAAAAAGTGATTAATATCGGCTGTCAATTTTACCAAGAAGTTGTGTTCAAGACATCACATCTATTAATAGCTTATCACTTACTGTAAGGATATTTGTCATCGTTTGTGATAATTGTATTTTCCGATAAACTTCCGGGAATATAAGCCTCAAGTGTAGGGCACAACCCAACCATATCGAGAAACTGCATACTATCATACTCATTGCCTGAATAATTGGCCGATATAATTATGCTATACCAGCGCATTCCAAAAGGCCAGTTTGAGGCAAATTTTATAGAAAATTGTATACATTATACATACACTATTCATAGTCTATTCATATTTTGGAATGGCCTGTGCTATACATTTTATATAAATTAAATTCTCCAAGATTTATTCAATTTATTCTTTATAAAACACTTCGATAAATATTATAATTAATTTAATCTTATGTGAAGGACTTTTGGTTAAATAATAATTATATAAATTTAATGATATAAAAATAAAAATTACAAAGACATATTTAATAATTTATACTGTATTTATAAATGGCTAATAAAAAATATACAGATACGTGATAAAAAGCGTTTATCTGGTTTTTAGCATAATTTCGTAGGGCTTTGGAGTGTTTAGTAACAGTATATCGGGGTTGGGGTCTAAGTCGGCGGATCCGTCGCCCGTCGGTAACGCAAACACACACTCATTGGTCGACTTCAAGAGACGCACTGTTATGAAAAACAGGTCCGCGAGCGCCAGCTTTTCGCCCACACATATACGACGGCCGATACCAAAGGGTGTGAACCCCGGGATGTTTGACACGAACTTACCATCACTGGTGAGAAACCTCTTGGGATCAAACACTTCGGGATTTGGCCACAAGTTTGGATCACGATTAATAGACAACAGATTTCCCATCACAAAAGTGCCCTCTTTTATGTGATATTTATCTAAATAACGATTAATTTATTAATTTTATTTCGCATGTAAGGAATACCAAGATATTATTATCATTAGTATGTAATTAAATAACTTGTATAAATTAATATACCCAATTGCATGTCACACATTGCCACGTGAGGAATACCAATGGGTGCGACCCCTCTATACCGAAGTGTCTCCGCAATGAAAGCGTTAACAAAATGGCATTCATTTCTGTGTTCATTAGTGGCCACTCTATCGCCGATCACAGACTCGATCTCATCCCTCATCTGAATCTGCATTTCAGTGTTGTTTGCCATCAATAGTAGAATCCATCGCATCATATACTGAGATGTGTCGGAACCGGCTTTACATATAAAATATATAAATTAGTAAATATTTAATTTAAGACAAAATTTCAGTTTTCAAACCAAAAAATAAGTCCATAATAACGAGTGAAAGGTTTTTATCTGTTAAATCGGATGCGCTTTCCTTCGCCTCCTGAATGGCCTCCTCTTTAGCCTCAATGAGAGCGTCACAGAAGTCATTGACGACACCCGAGGAATGGGTCTTCAGGTGATCCATATATTGCTGTCTCGCAAACACTGACAGACCACTCATTGTTTTTATAATTTTTGTAAATACTTTGGCGTATTTTGGCAACAATTTGAGGACAGGTATGCGATCGCAAATTAACAGTGCGTTAGAGTTGGCCCTAAAGTACTCAAATGAATCCTCTAAATACTTGAGCTCTTTGTCTTCAAACTGGTATCTAATTGTTTGCAACAAAATAATCATTTATTAAACATTATTTAACACAAAATTTGTGGCAATTTTTGTGTTGAGACATACCGTTTGCCGAAAGCGGACGAAGCGATTATATTGAATACATTCGCATAAATAAAACTCTTGGGATTAAATGGTGTCCCAATCGGGTGTGTCTTCTTCATGGTCTGTACGGTCTCGTCGACCACATCGTCCACCAAATCAGACAACTTCTCACTTATGGCTAGTTTTCTAATTATAACGTAATTTACAATAAAATTATAAGTAAATATAATTACAATAAATTCACTACTCATTGACATACCTGACCGCCGAGTGTGCGACACGTCTAAGACTGGCCCAAACCGGGCCGTGATCTGTGAAGGCGACGTCACTGCCCGACTGCAACAGCGCTTCGCTGAACGCTGTCTTTGGTCTTCCCATTAATTCGTTGTGTTTTGAATTAAATGCTGTTTTAATTAAATTCAAACCCGCGATCATAACCATTGGTGTTCCGCCAATCCATAGGGTAAACACCGGGCCATAGATTTGATGCAATTCATTGATTGTCACGAATTGATTCACTTTTGTATTTCTAAATACTGGTGTTTAAAATAAATTGAAAATAATATTTATTAAAATAATTAACTACTAAACTTAACAATTGAATACTTACGCAACGCATTGCCCACAACGGGTAGTGGGAACGGACCCCGGGGTAGGGAAAACACTTTTACATAGAATCTGACTAAATATACTGTTATTAAACCGATACCGACTGTTACTAACCAATTGATTAAATGTTGATAATTTTGGTCAAGCATTTTCTGGCAACAACTTTTATAAAAATAAAATTGAAAATAATGTTTTAAAACTGTTGAATAATCTGTTGTCAATCATGTATTAAATACCACATAAAAAGTTACTAAAACTTTTATATTACTAAAACTTGTATAAAATACATAATGTTTCAACGCTTTATATATACGCTATTTACAAGAATAATTTGTAAACAATTTTGAGTTAATTATTTCGTGTACAGCTATTTAATATACAATTTGTTTATATAACACATAAACTTAACTTAATATTTAAACATGATAAACATTTGTTTAGTTTATACTATTGGACAGATAATAAAAGGGAGAGAATTTAAGTAAAAAGCGCAGTTAATTATGACGACAAAATTTAGTCAATCAAGGTTGTTTGTACTGAATATTATCTGAAGAATTCATTATTTATTCTTACATTATAAATGTGCATGCATGATAAACAAGGTATTTGACATTAATTTAACAGTAACAAATAATTTTATTATATAAATTACAAAAAGTGAATATTTATAAACTATTTTATAAATTGATAATAATAAAATAAAAACTAAAAATTTAAGCTAACTTGTGATAATCATATATGAAATGCATTAATCATCATAATGTTTATTGCATAACAAATAGAAAATTTCCACTTGATTTAATTAATAACACTTTAATTGTTTGATTTATGATTAACAGAAATATCATATTTCATTAAAAGCATATTTTATAAATTTAAGTTATAAAAATTAAATGCGATTTTAAATAACATACAGTTTATATAAGTTTTGCCCTTAAAATAAATATTTTTTGATAAAAGTTCAGATGCTTTAAGCTTTAATTATATTTTAATAATATTATAATTTTGGAAAATATTTTATGTACAGTTTACATGAATTTATATAAGAAATATAAAAGACTCTTTTAATACATTGTAAAAATTATCTTATTTTAAGCATTATTTCGTAGGGCTTAGGACTACTCAGCAATAGTATGTTGGGGTCGGGCTGTAAGTCCGCGGATCCGTCGCCCGTCGGTAACGCAAACACACACTCATTGGTCGACTTCAAGAGACGCACTGTTATGAAGAACAGGTCCGCGAGCGCCAGCTTTTCGCCAATACATACGCGCCGTCCGATTCCGAAGGGATGAAAGCCCGGGATGTTTGACACAAATTTACCATCACTTGTGAGGAACCTCTTGGGATCAAACACTTCGGGATTTGGCCATAGGATTGGATCACGATTTACCGATATTAGATTACCAAAAACAAATGCTCCCTCTTTTATGTGATATTTATCTAAATATAAAAATTATTTATTAAAATAGGTGTCGAGTAAACATGATATAAATAATTACCAAGTTGCATATCAGACATGGCCACATGTGGCAGACCTAATGGGGTAACATTTCTATAACGTAATACTTCAGCGATGAAAGCGTTAACAAAATGGCATTCATTTCTGTCTTCATTAGTGGCCACTCTATCGCCGATCACAGACTCGATCTCATCCCTCATCTGAATCTGCATTTCAGTGTTGTTTGCCATCAATAGTAGAATCCATCGCAAAGTATATTGAGTAGTGTCCGAACCGGCTATACATAGAAATTAATCAAAATTATTAATATTTATTTAATTAATTAATCAAAATTTGATTATCAAACCTATAAATATATTCACAATAACGAGTGAAAGGTTAGTATCAATCAAAGCGGCGGCGCTTTCCTTCGCCTCCTGAATGGACTCCTCTTTAGCCTCAATGAGAGCGTCACAGAAGTCATTGACGACACCCGAGGAATGGGTCTCCAAGTGATCCATATATTGTTGTCTCACAAATCCTGACAAACCCTTTAAAGTTTGTAATGTTTTTCGTAAAATGTTGGCATATTTTGGCAACTTTTTGAGGACAGGTATGCGATCGCAAATCACCAGATCATTGGTGTTGGTTCTAAAGTCCTCAAAACTTTGCTCTAAATACTTGAGCTCTTTGTCTCCAAACTTGTATCTAATTATTTGAAATAAAAAAATATTAATTGTTATTTAATATATATTTTGTGAATATTAACTGTTAAAACATACCGTTTGCCAAAAGCGGACGAAGCGATTATATTGAATACATTGGCATAAATAAAACTCTTGGGATTAAATGGTGTCCCAATTGGGTGTGTCTTAATCATGGTATCAGTGGTTTCGCTGACGACATCGTCCACTAAATCAGACAACTTCTCACTTATGGCTAGTTTTCTAAATATAACGTAATTCACAATAAAAGTATAAGTAATTATAATTGCAATAAATTCACAGCTCATTGACATACCTGACCGCCGAGTGTGCGACACGTCTAAGACTGGCCCAAACGGGTCCGTGATTTGTGAAGGCGACGTCACTGCCCGACTGTAACAGTGTTTCAGTGATGCTATTTTTCGGTCTTCCCATCAATTCATTGTTTTTTGAATTAAATGCGGTTTTAATTAAATTCATTCCCGATATGACCACAATTGGTGTCCAACCCAACCATATTGTATACACCGGTCCATACGTTTTGTGCAATTCATTCATTATTACGAATTGAGTTTCTGTTGTATTTCTGAACACTGATTGCGATACGAAAATAAATAGTTTTTAATAACAATTAACAAATTAGCATAAATTCAATCATTAAATACTTACGCAAAGCATTGCCAATAATTGGAAGTGGGAACGGACCCCGGGGTTGAGAAAACACTTTTACATAAAATCTCACTAAATATACTGTTATTAAACCGATGCCGACTGTTATTAACCAATTGATTAGATATATATAATTTTGTTCAAACATTTTCAAATGAAAACTTAAATAAAA